AAAGAGAGGGACTCTTGAAATTCAACAATATACTAACGGGGCGGGGGGAGCAAAATCTGAATGAGACTCTCTTTTTGATAGCTGCCATATTTGCCTTAACACCCCTTGATCTTCTCAAAGCCCTTCAGGGGTCTTGAACTGTTGGGGATTGGGGGACTCAAAGCTACATCTGCCTATGGTGGTAGCAACACAGCTCTACTCGTTGGGTGCCTCAACTCTCACAGACTGGGCTCCAGGGCTCAAGAAAGATACTTGGTTTCTCTTCCAGGGCATTCCATCAATACCTACCCATGGAGGCTGCCTTGTGCCAACACAATGAGAAGCTCATGGGAAGCAGATGGCAGGCGGCCAACAGAGGCTTCTCTAGGGTATGGTAGGTAAGGTGCCTGCCCTGGGCACCACTTGGGGGAGGCGCCAATAAGCTGTTTCTATTAGCCACCCCAGTTTCCATCACCAGCTATGAGAGATCATTCAGCAATTTAAAGCTAATTGCGGTTAAGCACCGTTTTCCGTAGATAATACCCACACCTGCCCTCCAGAACCGTGCTTCTGGCAAGGTTCCATGGAGATCCGAAAAAGCAGAGGCTTCTAAACCAAACCTCCATGACTTGACTCCATAAGTCTTTATCAAATGTCCCTTATGTGCCGGGTACTGTCTATGGATTGTTGGGGACCAGCACAAAGAGCTTTATTTGCATTTATGCCTCAGGGAACCGCCAGAAGTTCTTAAACAACAAGCAACAGCAGTAGGAAGGCAAGCATAAGAAATCGCTTGTCTTAGACACTAGGAGGAACACTGAGCTTTTCATAGCTCTCGAAGACAATGGGTCCAAAGAAAGCAAAACCTTACGAGCTTACTACTAATTCATTTACCTCAGCAGATACGCTTTATGAGCTATCATTAATTCTCACTCTAGCCATTGTTTCAGAACTTTATGTAATTACCTAAAACAATATTTCCCAGACTTTGACAGTAACTCAAGCATAAGGAATCTGAGGGTATGTTCAAAACAGACAAGTTACAAGGAACGTTCAAGAGCACTCAACTTCCTCTCACAGATGCCAGGATCTTAGAAAGTGGGAAAGTCCAGCCAAGAGCAAAATGCAGTCTGGTTTGGGACTTGAAACTTAACTTGAGAAATCAGCCAGCAAGGCATTTCCAGGTGGAGAAGCCAGTTCTCTTACTGAAGGAGAAATTTGTGTTTCTGGTTTGATATTGCCCTTCTTTAGGGACCTGTGTTTTGTTTCCACAGAATTGTTGTTGCTAGTGGCTATTGAGTCAGCTTCAACTCATGGCAACCTTATGTACAGCAGAACATAACATTACAAGGTCCTGTGCCATCTTCATGATCATTGGTATGTTCAAGTCCATGGGTGCGGCTGTTGTGTCAGTCTATCTCATTGAGAGTTTCCCTCATTTTCGCTGACCCTCTACTTTACCGAGCAAGGTATCCTTTTCTAGCAATTGGTCTCTCTTTATGACATGTCCAAAGTAAGTGAGTCAAAGTGTTGCCACCCTCACATCTAAGGAGCATTCTGGTTATATTTCTTCTAATACTGATACAGGACACAGCAGTGAATACAAGAAACGAGGTTCCTGGTCTTGGGGTGTTCTGGTAACTAGCTGTGAGAACATAAGTTTTTTTTTCTTTCTTAATTACTTTGGGCCTCTGTTTCCTCATCTGTCATATGGAGACTTTTCTTATGGATCTTCCCAAGGGTCCCCTGATCTGGGGCATGAGCTCTGAAGACACTGGTACAGATAGTTTCTTTAAAACAGCTCCAGAGGAAAGTCAGGAATAGTGGGAGGAAATGGCATGTGTGGCTACTTGACTCCATGAACAACCGACCCCTTTGCCATGGGACCAGAAGAACTGGATGGTACCTGGCTACCATTACTGAACATTTTGATCAAAGATTCTATAGAAGAATCCTGATCAAAAGGGGGAAAATCTAGGACAGAATTTCAAATTCTTATAGAATCCAAACTTTCCGGAGCCATAGAAGCTGGACGACCCGCTGAAACTGTTGCCCTGAGATCATCTCTAAATCTTAAGCCAGAAATATCTCCTGAAGTCTTCTTAAAACCAAACAATAGTTTAGCTTAACTAGTAAAGAATGTCTGCCTTGATCATTATGCTCTTTTAAGAACTATCCATAGGGGATCAAACTGACCACAGCAACTCAAAAGATTAGATAGGAGCCTTAGGGGGGCAGTGAACTGATATTAATAGGAGAGGACAACTCAGAAAAGGCGGGTGAGCATGGCTGCACAATTGGAAGAATGTAATGTACATCACTGAATTGTACATGTAGAAATTGTTGAGTTGGAATATGTTCTGCTGTGTATATTCTCAACAACAAGAAAAATAAAATAAATTATTTAAAAGAAAAGAAAGCTCCATACACCGAGATAGAGGGCTCTCCAAGTCTTCTATTCTGATACCTTCCTACTTTGCATCTGATGAGTATTGCTCCAGCTGGCCCAGGCCACGACTATCTCTTTGTGTAAGGGTCCAGCCGTAACATCACCTTAAAAGAGGGACAGATGAGTCATTTTACAAAAAAGATTTTTACTCAAAGTCTATGAACGTGTTTTGGAATAGGCACTCCTATTACCTGTTGGAAAATATGTAAATTGGCACAACTTCTCTTTAAAGGAGTTTGGCAATACAGATCAAAAGCCTTAAAACATTGATAGCTTCTCACCTACTAATTATACTTCTGGGAATCTAGCCTAAGGAAATAATTGAAAATATTTGTAAAATCCCTATGCAGAAAGGTGTTCATTGTTGCATGATTTATAATGGTGGCTAAAAAAAAAAAATCCACTGGAAATCCAGTAAGTATGACATTTTTAATAACACAACAAAGTGCTTATCTTATAATATTAATAAAAACTGGGTGCAAAACTATATACACATTCAGTGTGATTATAGAAAGACAGAGGGCTCCAGGAGCGGCATCTTCAAGAAAATGAAATTGATGGAATTCTCAGTGTTTTAACATATGAGGATAAGATTTATACTTTCAGCAGTGAATTAGGAAATAAATTGTTGATAAAAAACCAAACCCATTGCTGTCAAGTTGATTCTGACTCAAGGCAACCCCATTGTTACAGAGAACTGCTCCACAGGATTATCTTGGCTGTAATCTTTACAGAAGAAGTCCTGGTGGCGCAATGGTGCTTGGCTGCTAACTGAGAGGTCGATTGCAGTTCAAACCCATCAGCCACTCTTTAGAAGAAAAGACTTAGTGATTTGCTCCCATAAAGAATACAGCCTAGGAAACCCTATGGGACAGTTCTACTCTGTCCTACAGTTAGCTATGAGCTAGAATCGACTCAACAGCACGCAACGACAGTAACAAGCTTTACAGAAGCAGATTGCCAGACCTTTATTCCAGAGCACCACTGGGTGGGTTTAAACCACCAACCTTTAGGTTAATAGTCAAGAGCAAACCATTTGTACCACCCAGCAACCTATAAATTGGTGATAGTTACATAGAAAACTTAAGCAAATTGAAAAAGAGATGTTTACTCCAAGGAAATTTAATATAGAATAAAACTTGGTTTGACTGTGAATTATATTTAAATAGTCATAATTTTGAGGGTGGGAAGAAGAGAATTAGGAGGGAAGCGACAATACTGTATAGAAGAGCTAACTCCCCATCCTTCATAGCACGAAGTCAATCAATGAAAACTAAAACGGAAAAATTACTATACGGCAGGCAAAGCCTGCTATTCAGAAGTAAGGAGGCAAATACCAAAAGAAAACACGAAGAGTTCAAAGTAGGGGGGTGGAACTGGAGGCCTGAGACCCAGGCTGGGGATGGCTCTTTTTCATAAAAAGTCTCAAGATGTTATACATACTTAACTTTGATTTTTTTAATTAAATGTTTAAAATATGGACGGCATCCAGAATGAAGGAACGACAAGTGAGAGGTGTGGGACATGCAATTAGTCAGGTGTGGTTGACTCATGGGATGTCGGGCAGGGAGGGTGGGAAGGCACCAAAGCAGAGCTGAAAATTAAGGGCTGAGTACCGCAGGGGAAAGGGAACTATCCCAGGTTGTTACATTCTTGCTCTTGGTCTTGACCACATTCTTGTTAGAAAGGTCATTCAGGCAGAAATTGGGAGTGGGAGAGATGGAAGGCAAGGGGCCCCAGTTAGTAGACGGAGCCCAGTTCTAACGAGAGAGGGAGAAGGTCAGAAGGTGGTAATGCCATGGGGTGAAGAGTTGGGCATGGTGACAGGTATTTCCTAGGAGACTCATCAGCACTTAATTGGTTGAGGGGAATGAGGAAGGGGAGGAAGTTGATGGTGTGATGAGGAGGAGCAAGGTGTTCAGTAGTGACGACAGACACCATCCCCAAGACAGAAGGCTTTCCCTTCCACCATCCAAGACAAAAATCACGTGTGCAAGTGTGGGGAGCCAAAGCCTATAGTTAAGAGTCAAGCTTTGGAGTCCTTGGTTAAAATACCTGAAAAGGTAGAGTGTTACTTAAAGATAGGCCTGGACTTCGTAGCCAGACAGACCTGGATTTGAACCCCAACCATGCCACTTACTACCTGCATGACTTTATGCAAAGTATTTAACGTCCCTGAATCCCAGGCATTTTCTGGTCTCCATAATGAGCCTAATACATCCACCCCACAGATTTGCTAGGTTTGTATAATGAAAGAACCTCTCTAGAATGCCTGTCAACATGTGTGGGCTCCCTCCCTTCCTGTGTCCCACCATGTGACTTCTCTCCCACTCCCTTGATGGCATGGAGGTCTTCTAGAAAGACCCCTGGGCCCTACAGTCTCTGAGATCTGCTCCATTTCCCGTATCCTTCAGGCCGCAGGGCCCCAGAAGTGTTCCTGGAAGCCATCTGCAGCTCCCCTTCCATCAGTTCAAGAATAGAATCCACACAGGTTTGCATCAACCAGAAAATCAGCTTTATTAGCCCACCACCAGCAGAGAGAGGGATGGGGAGACAGCTGGGGACCGTGCTGGGAGAACAGGGTCCTGACCCAGGCCTTTAGGAGGGCAGGCCGGCAGGGGCAGAAGGCTGTGGCAGAGGCAGCTCAGGGCTTGGAGAGCTGGCTCTGGCTGAAGCTGGACGAACTCTGCTCCTTGAGGATGGGCCGGGTCTGGTGGCTGGAGGAGAATGACGACGAGGAAGAGGAGACTGTGGAGAGAGGAGAGGAGGTGAGCCGGGCCCTGGGAGCTGAGGGAGGGCTTGGGGCTCTGGGGAGAGGGGCCTGTCGTCCACCCCATGCAAACAAACAGAGGTGCTGGAGTGTCAGGACTCTTACCTTCGTGGGAAGAATAGGATTGGCCAGATACTTGCTGGGGGAAGAGGCTGTGGAGGAGAAAAGGCAGAGCAGTTAGATATGCTGGGAGAAGCGGGGGGAGGGGGGGTCTGTGGGGCAGGACTGGGGCCCCACTCACTGTGTAGCCTCGCCCTCCAGCAGGCGGCGGTAGGTGGCGATCTCCTGCTCTAGCCGGGTCTTCACGTCCAGCAGGATCTGGTATTCCTGGCTCTGCTGCTCCATCTCGCAGCGCAGCTGTGCCAGCTGCTCCTCCACACTGCTGATCAGCCCCTGGATCTGGGCCAGCTGCATGCAGTAGCGGCCTTTGGTCTCCTCCAGGCTGTTCTCTAGGGATGCTTTCTGTGAGTGGGAGAGGAAAAGAGAGTCAACGGAGGTGTCACTCTGTCCCTCCAGGTCTCTGGGCATGTTTCCTGAGAGGTGTGTGGAGTCTGACCCCAGCTGGGCTACTGATGGGCCAGACAACAGGGAGCGAAGTTATTCCATCATTCTGGGCCTTAGCTTCCCCATCTATAAAATGGATACAATGATCCCTCCTGTCCCGTTCCTGAGCCAGACAGTGAGACAAAAAAAAAAAAAGGAAAAGAGGGGTAGGACTGTATTGTGGTGTTGAGAGGGTGCTGGCCATTACTCATGACCTGGGGGCTGCAGGACTGGGTCCTCCATACCATGCTAAGCTGAGATTGCAGCTCGATCTCCAGGCTCTGGAACACCCTCCGGAGCTCGATCACTTCACTTCGGCCACTCTGCAACAGTTCGCTGTTAGAGGCCACTTCTTTGTTCAGCTCCTCAGTCTGAGACAGGAAAGAAGAGTAGGAGGTGTGAGGAGCTCAGAGGTCTCCCCAGCTGGAAGGTCCCACAGAGTAGCTGAAAACCCGAGCCCCACCTTGCTCAGGAACCAGGCCTCAGCTTCTCTGCGGTTCTTCTCGGCTATCTGCTCATACTGGTCACGCATCTCATTCAGGATGCGACTCAGGTCCACGCCAGGAGCTGCGTCCATCTCCACGCTGATGTCCCCACCGGTCTGACCCCGCAGGACAAGCATCTCCTGGGGGGGATGGCAACAGTCGGTCAGCTCAGCAGTCCCCTCTCCTGGCCCCAGGTGGATCTAGCAATGCCACCAAGCCAGCCTCCCAAATCCAACTCCAGCAGGGGCCTCACCTCCTCATGGTTCTTTCTCAGGTAGGCCAGCTCCTCCTTCAGGCTCTCGAGCTGCATCTCCAGGTCGGTCCTGGCCAGGGTCAGCTCGTCCAGCACTCTGCGCAGGCCATTGATGTCGGCCTCCACACTCTGGCGCAGGACCAGCTCATGCTCATACCTAGGGGACAGAGATCAGAGCTTCAGGCTCCGTCCCTGAGGCTTCTGAGGCTCAAGGCCTGCTGGCCCTCCTGGGTGGATGGCCCCTCTCCTCGCCCCTGCCCTCAACCCGCCACAGTGGCTGCTCACTTGGTCCTGAAGTCATCGGCTGCCAGCCTAGCGTTATCGATCTGCAGAACAGGCTGGGCATTCTCAATGGTGGCCTTGATGATCTAGGTGGGGATGGAGGGACAGGAGGCCTGGTCAGCCAAGGACCTCACTCTTCGAGGGCAAATGGCAGAGGTAGAGGAAAGGAGCCTCCCCAAACCTGGGGGTGGCCTGGCTGGGAGGCCCTACACTCACCCAGCTGCCCTGGGACGCCTTCTCCACAAATCTCAGGGTATGTACGTGATATACCCCATATCTATCTCCATCCTCATCCTGGGCCTACGGCTGAGGGAATCTGAGGGTGCTGTGCAAAGAGCCCTCCAAGGGAATGAGAAATCCTGGGTCCCAGCCCCAGCTCAGACACATAGATGCTGAAAAGGGACCCTCTGCCACCAATTCTCAGTGACCCTTGGCCACTCCCCCAAGTTGGGCTTCAGTTTCCCTGTCTGTAAAATGAAGAGGCTAAAAATTAGGCTTTTTAAGGGCCACTGCAGCCCTGGCGTCTCTCAGTGCTGTGTCCACCAGAGCTGCCCATCTGGCCCACCCACCTTGTTCCTCAGATCCTCAATGGTCTGGAAGTAGTGGCTGTAGTCTTTGATCAGAACAGGCTGCTGCCTCTGGTACCATTCGCGGATCTTCACCTCCAGGTCAGTGTTGGCTTCCTCCAGGGCACGCACCTTGTCCAGGTAGGAGGCCAGGCGGTCATTGAGGTTCTGCATGGTCACTTTCTCACTGACCACCAGGAGCCCATCACCACCACCAAGGCCACCACCAAAGCCACCACCCAAGCCAACACCAAAGCTGGCACCAAGACCACCACCGTATCCTCCACCCAAGCCACTACCCAGAGCTCCACCAAAGCTGCTACTGCTGCTGAAGCCACCGCCATAGCCAATCCCACACGCTCCTCCGGAGGAGAAGCGGGAGGAGGAGACTGACAGGCCCCCGTAGGCACTGGGGGCCCGGCAGGAGCCTGCAGCCAGGATGGAGGAGATGCGGCTGGAGCCGCCGCCGACGCCACAGGAGCCCTTCACGGAGCTGGAGGTGAACTGACGGCTGCAAGTGGCCATGGTGCCAAGAAGGAGGTGAAGGAGAGCGCGAGTAGAAAGCGCAGGAGGTGCTCAGGAAGGCTGGCAGGGGATGCTGGGGCTGTCTTGAGTTCTGGAAACTTTATACGCTGCCCGGGAAAGGCGGGGCCCTCCTAACTGCTGACGGTAGGTTCTCCTCCGGATTTCATCACTCCAGGCTCATCCAACTCCCCTCTCCGGATTATTCAGCCCGGGGTCTACTCACTTCGCTGTGTGCTAGCTTAGGGTTCACACCCAGCTCTAGGGGGCGTGGGGCCAAGAGAAAAACACAAAAACGCACAGTTGGTGGTGACTCAGGCTGGGTGGCTGGGACTCCCGGCTCCAGTTCCTGGAGCCTGAGGGGCCAGTGGGGCCTGGGCCCAGGCAGCTTTGTGGTGGCTCCATCCCCAGGCAATGAGTCAGCTGTCGAATGGACTCCCTGACCCATGGTGATGGCCTTGGCTGAGAGAGGCCTCAGTGGTGCCATCCCAGGGCTGTCTCGGGATACAGCTGTGGGCATTCTACAGGCCCACCTATGGCCATGCAGGGCAGGAGCTGGGCTCTAGGCCTGGCTCTGCTCTGCTCTCTGTGTGACCCGAGGCCCCCGCCTCCCCTCTCTGGACCTCTGTTTCCCTTCAGTAAAGTAACCAGGCTGGACCGGGTGATCTCGGAGTCCTTTTAGTTCTAGTTCTAGAAAGCCAATGACTCTCTTTCCCCAACTGTATTCGATACCACTTTCGGGGGCTGCCTTTGAGCCCCCAGGATTGCCAGACATGGAGTGTGCTATGGAAACAGTGAGCACTTTGGAATCAGACAGGTGGTGACTTAAATCCCTGCTCTGCCACTTACAAGCTGCACAGCTTAGCCCCTCTGGGCCTCAGTTTTCTCATCCATAAAAGGGGAAGACACACCACCAGCCGCAAAGAACATGCACGAAGGGCCCAGGCTGGGCAGGGTTCAACAGTGGGCCCTCCCTTGCCCATGGCCAGCCCTGCCCCTCATCCTCCTCATCCCTCCTTTACAGCCGATTGGCCCCTCACTTGCCTCCTCACCCCCCACTGCACCTCCGTCCCATACCCCCACACAGGCCCTGCTCTCTCCTCTCCGCCCCGCACTCCCCAAGGCTCACTTCCGCTACTCCAGCCCACTGCTCTAACTTACTCACTTGTAAACCAGGGGAGGAGAGGAGGAGTACCATCCTGCCAATAATGCAGTGCGTGACCCTGACCCCGCCACAGGCCTTAGAATTCCCATACGGAAAACCATGCTACCCAGGGCTCCCTTCCCCACAATTTCCTCTGTCTGTCCACAGATTCCAGGCAGGGCTTGGCAGCTTCGTTCATTCCACCAAGGAGTGGGGGAAGGGCACTAAGACACTCTGGTCAGCTGACACCCCCAGGCATTGCCCAGCGTGCCTTACACGTGCTGTAAAGTTCTGAGAGGTGGGCATAATTCCTGCCACCATTGCACAGTGAGGCAGCTGGGACGTGCCCGGGCAAGTGGGCTTCCCAAGTGACCCGTCAACAGGGGAGCTGAGATTTGAACCCCTGTCTGTCTGCTCCCCAGTCTGTGCCCTTACCACTATCCTATACCCCTCCAAACCCCGTTGCCATCTAATTGATTCCGATTCATGGTGACCCTATGCGTTACCGAGTAGAACTCCTCTATAGGGTTTTCTTGGCTGTGATCTTTACAGAAGCAGATTGTCAGGCCTTTTTTCCACAGTGCCATTGGAAGGGTTCCAACCCCAAATGTTTAGATCAGAAGTCAAGTGCAAACCGTTTGTGCTGTCCAGCGACCTTACAAACATGTTTTAAATTGGCATCATTTTTTAATCTTTGAATTTACCCTGGCAAGTGAGGAGGGCAGAGGGAGAAACAGCAAAAGCGGGCCATTTGCCCAGAGTCGCTTGGCTTTAAACTGCAGAGCCAGGTTTAGAACCTGGGCTCCGGCTCTCTCCATTCTCCCACACTGCCTTGCAGGCAGGGACCAGGTATGTCTGAATCTCAACTGCCTCCCCACAGCACCTGGTGCTGAGCTCAGTGGGCATGACCTTGGCCTGAGAGCCTGGCCGAGTACTCAGGGTTGAAGGAAGCGTTGGGGGATCTGGCCCAAAGACAGAGGCTTCCTTGGGGTTCTGTGGGGTTAACTCATGGTGCTGCGCACTGTCCTTGACCCTTAGTGCCTCTGCTAAGAGCAGAGGAGCCAAGAGAGGGCTTGCCTCAGCCTGAGCTCGGTTGGGCGATACTGCCTGGAACCTTGAGGCAGGAATCCTCCATCTCAGCACAACCAGGGCTTTGTACTGCCACAGCGCATCCTGTTGTCACCTGCTTGCAGGCACAGTGCCCAGAGGTATGAACAGAGCCCGATGCCCAACACATGCCTTTGGAGCCAGGCCTGGAGAGAGAACTTGATGATCTTTTCCCTCTCCCCCAAAATGAGCAAAGGGGACCCTGGAATCTTGGACAAGAACCCCACCATCACAGGTGTCAGAATAGACCTGGAGTTCAGGTCCAACCAGACTCCACCTTCAGAACTGGAAATGGCCTTCAAGATCACCAAAGGTCACCAAGCCCCAACCAGAGAGAGTAAGACACCTACTCAAGGTTAAACAGCATGAAAGCAAAAGAGCAGAAACTCGAACCTGGCTCCAACTCCCAAACCAAGGTTCGCACCCATGCTCCCAGCAGAGTCTCTGGGAGTCCTTCCATCTCTGCCCCCTCCCATAACTTCCTGCCTCCTTCTCCAATTGAATCACTGCTCCCCCTGCCCCATTTCTGGAGGAATCAGGGTGGGATCACACACAGGCCCAGAACTGAAGATCTAGGCATCCACGTGGGCTAAGAAGCTGCTAGGAAGTCACAGACCAATGCATCAAGCCTCTCAGTCGACACATAGATCAAGCCCTACCACATGCGCAGCACTCAGGGGGAGGGCGCGGAGGCAATGGTGACACAGCCCCTGACCTCAGAAGAACTTATGGTTTGACCCAGGAGAGAAAACTAAGGCTGGGAAATATAGCTCCACATGGCAGGAAATGAAGGTCTAGGTTGCTGGCGCAGGCCAAGCCTGGGGTACTTGGGCCACTCTGCCACCCACCCCCCTACACACTGCAGGATGCATCTAGGGTAAGTGCCACCCTACTCTGAGCCTCAGCAGTGAAGGAGGGGCTTGCCTGCCTAGCCCTGGCCTTCCAAGTAACCAGGGGAGAGGCTTCCTGGCAGAGGGGAGGCTCCAACTGGGCCTCAAAGGATCCAAATTGGCAGAGAAGGAGCAGGAGGACGTTTCCTCAGCACCAGCAATGTGCAGCTGCCCCGAGATTGCCAATAGCCAGAACCACTAAGTCTGGTGGGCCCAGAGCACAAACTCCCCTAAGCTTGCTCCCCTCCAGGCAGTGCATTCTCCCACCACAGGCCTCCTTCCTCCTTCCTTGACCCCACCCCATCTTGGGTATGAGGACGTCTCAGCCAAGTTGGCTGGGAAACATTACTGGCCAATGCCAGGCCTCGACTTGCCATGAGTCCCAAACCTTGCTGATCATCAGCATCCCATTCAGATCCTGGCTCCTGCTCCCCCGCCACGGCATTGGCATTGCCAAGGACCAGCCTGGCCATGGGGATGTTTTACAGGCTCCCCAAGGGATTCCAATGACTAGCCAGGCTGGGAAGCAGGAGGCAGCCCCAGGGTGCTGAGTGGAGGGAGGGGTAGCAGAGAGGGGCAGGAGGCCCAAAGGAGGCTGAGCAGAGAAAGGGGTTTCTGCAGGGCCCCAGTCCCGGATGGGCAGGCCAGGGCCACAGGCTTCAGGGCAGGATGAGGAAAGAGAAAAGCCCGACATGCCAGGACACAGCAAGCTGCTGTCAGCAAGGGTGGAGGCAAGACTTGGGGCAAATTGTTTAGCCTCTCTGACCCTCAGTCTCCTTCTCTGGGAAATGAGAATAGTGTAATAGTACTAGTTCACAGGCATGTTAGGAGGACTGGAGGTGAAGTAAATAAAGCACCTGGCAGAGACTGGTGGCTATCACTTCACTGATTCGACAGGTATTTCTATAGCGCCTGCTATGTGCCAGGCACTGTGCTGGACACCTAGACCCAAAGAACAAGACAGAGAAGCCCTGGGGCATGCAGTCTGGTGGGGAGAGGGGGAGGTCAATACAATCACAACACCGTGTGCTCAGGCTGTGATAGGGTACAGAGACCTGCAGGGAAACAGAGCAGGGCAGGCTCCCTGGGGATGACAAATGTCCCCAGTCCAAGCTCTAACCTCCTGACAGGTCCCAGGTAGGGGTTAGCCTGTGAATTCCAGGCCTGCCTTAGGGGTCCTCTTCTCTCCCAGACATTTGGTGTTCCCCTTCCAAGGGAGGAGACTGTCCCAGCCCCTCACGCTGCTCTGTGCAAACAAGGGGCCCTGGGGAGCCCATGGCTCTTAGGCACGGTTGTAGCTGCAGCTCTGTGCCCAGTGGCAGAACTGCCCTTGGCTCTGGTCCCTCTGTTCCCCTCTACCCCCACAGCCTGAGCCAGCACAAGAGCCTCACATTACACTGTGCCCTGCTCCCACCCCCAGACCAGGGGCTCCCTCTGGGCAGGCGCTGTCTCTGGACCAGGGTCTATGTCCCCTCCTTCCCCTCACTCAGGGCAACCCAGGCACAGGTGTTACTATCTACCCTGCAGGAAATGCTGCCAGGTCAGCCCTCTGGGGAGTGGGTGTGGCTGAGGAAGCATCACAGGGAGCTGACTACCACTGTCATGGGTCTAGGTCTGGGTATCGGGAGGGTGTGTTCATCATATAAGAGAGAGAGAGGCGGCTCGTGGGCAGTTGCAGACCAGCGGCTTCGGCCTTGCTGTTAGAGCCGAGAAACATCCTGCAACAGTGGGGTGGAGTGTGCATGGATCTGTGACTCCCTCCACAGATCCGCACAGCTCAATCCCCCAATCCAGCCACAAAGGCACATACCCAGCAGCCTGGACCTACAAGGGGTGCCGTGGACAAAGCCACCAAAGTTCCCTGCAGCACCCCCAAGGGGACCACAACTCCAGCCCTGGGTCACTCTTCCCTAAAGCCCCACCTGCCCACACCTGACCTGAGCGCTCCTGGAAGGGATGAGGCTTTCCTTCTCGTTGGGGGGGCGGGGCCGGGGCCAGGACCATTCCCTGGGGACACACACCTGTGCCCCAGCACACAGCCACCACTTGTTCCAGCTCAGCCCTCTGGACATAACTGGGTGCTCCCCGATTCTGGCTTCCTGACCCACCTACCCATTCATTGCGGGGAGGGGCTTCTTCCCCAGCAGAGGGGTACGGGGGTGGGGGGCGCGGAGGCTGGAAGCTGTCTCTGGCCCCAGCCCACACTCTGGCCCCTCCTCACTCAGCTCATCAGTAGGAGTGGATCCTGGGAGTCTGCTGAAGGGGCACAGCCCCTGCCTAAGTGCCTGGGTAGGGCAGGAGCAGGTTCTTGGCTCCTCTTCCCGACCCAGGCCCAGCCCACCGCCACTCCACCGCTGACATGCCAGGTTCCAGACAAGGCTGAGTCACTGCTCCTCTAGGAGCCTCAGTGTCCCCCTCCACACAATGGGGTGCCTCTTCCCAGACCTTCCCTGCTACCTGAGACTGTTGTTCGGATAAGTGAGATCACCCTCTGGAATGAGCCATCCCAGCCCAGGGCTGGTTCTTCTGGTTGCAGCCGGATGTGCAGCGGGGCCTGGTGGGAACAGCGCCTCCCTGCCACCGTCATCCTTACCCGTATTTGCTGCCTGGGCAGCTTAGAGTCACCAGCCTCTGACGGAGCAGAGCCCCTCACTCCCAGCCTCCCCCTGCTCTAAGATCGACAGCAGCTGCAGACACGGGCTTCCCACCTCCCTGGAGTGTCGGAGCCAGGAGGGCCGTTAGCTGTGGCTCAACGCACCCCCTCTTTTATAGTGCATCTTCTGAGGTCCAGAGCGTGCCTATGCCCTGCTCAAAGCCACCAGCCCCAGCTTCCCGCTTTCCAGTCCTGTGCACCTTCCACTGCCCCCACCTGCGGTCTCAGCTAGCCCCAAGCCCCCCACCGCACCAGGCTCAGTGGGCTCTGGCCCCTACTGCTCCCTCCCAGCCTCCAGGTGTCAGGAGAGAAAGGGTGGATCACCATCCCGGATCACCAGCTTTTGGGAGATGCCAATTGCCCCTCCAGCTCTCCCCAAACCCAGAAACGGAACTTGAGTGGATTCAGACTCATAGTGACCATGTAGGACAAAATAGAATTGCCCCATAGGGTTTCCAAGGCTCTAATCTTTATAGAAGCAGACTGCAACATCTTTCTCCCATGGAGCGGCTGGTGGGTTTGAACCACCGACCATTCTGTTAGCAGCCCAGCTAGCACTTAACCACTTCACCACCAAGCCTCCTTCCAGCTCTTCCCAGACTTACTCTTTACCCTGGTCTAAGATGGCCCTTGACCTATAAGTCAACAGTGAGTGTCCAAGGACTCGCCCCTCATTCCCTCCCAATGCACCCATGACAAGGATGCATTTCATATCTGAGTGGACAAGCTCAGTGAAGCCCTCCTCCCATACCCCTACCCCCAGCCTCCATGCACCAGCAGTAAAAGGATGTGTAGAGGGCCATGGTCTCGTTCTATAGCAGCAGAGACACTCCCAGGCCTCTCAGTGAATCGGGGTGAGGGACGTCCCTCCTTTCATTAACCCCAGCCCACCCCCCTCCTTGAAGAAAACCAAGAAAGTAGGCCCGCCCCACACAGTGGTTTCCAGATTTACTCGAAGGAAGACTTCCAGGTGTCGGGGCTCCTCCCGGCCTCTTTCACAAGAACCATTCCCACACACACCCCTTGCCTGCCACCAGAATGAAAAGGGCTGGGGCTCAGACAGGACCGCGGCAGTGGCTGGGGCAGGTTTGTTCCCAGAGACAGTTTCCCACCTTCCCTCACCCTGCCCCCACCCCCAGCTGCTGGAACCAAGAGGGGCTAAACCAAGCCCCCCAGACCCGCAGGGTCCCCCGGAACAACTCTCCCACCCCTCTCCTGAGCAACAGCTGACTATCTGGGGAAACATCCCTGGGAGAGGCCCCACCCTTTCTCCCACACCTGCCCCGGTCCACAGCCTTTTCTGGATGCATCAGCCTCCTGCTCACATTCCTGGGGTGAGGGCAATCGGTGTATCCTGGGGGTCCTTTTGGAGATTTCCTGAGACTCATATGGTAACTTGAGCCCTAACCACCCAGGGCCCAGCCTCCCTTACCCCCTCTTCCCTACCCTATTCCTCCCCTGGAAGGACCCTTGCCCACACCCTGCCCCACTCTGGGACCAGGAAGAGCAATTGATTTGGATGCGTCATCTCTTGGAACTCAGGCTCTTGAACCTGAGATCATCTTGTCCATTTATGGATGAGAACGTTAAGCTCAGCAGGGGAAGGACTGCCTGAGGCCAGGGAGCTAGTTACTGGGCTAGAGCGAGCTGCCTAAGACCACCTCTGATACCCTAGCTCCCTCCTGGGTCTAGTACTGCCTGGCCCCCTTCTATGAATTGCCAGCCCTTGGAAGATGTAAAGCACCCACCACCCAGCTCTCCTCAGACTTACTCTTCACCCTGGTCTCAGATGACCCTTGACATCCAAGTCAACAGTGAAAGTCCAAGGACTCCACCCCCCATTCCCTCCCAGGCTACCCACTTCTCGCTAGGGCCCACTCAGTGACCATGACAAGGATTCATTTCACATCTGAGTCAACAAGCTTTATTTGGGTCAAGGAGGGGAGTGTGGGAAAGGGGCTAAAGCAGAGGGGCTGAGGCCAGGGAGGCCAGAGGCTGCAGGGTGGATGGGGTGGCCACCTCCCTGCCACCTGGGGCGCTGGCTCAGGAAACCAAGTCCTCAGTGGGTGGACTGGCGGACCTGCTCGTGGGAGGAGATGACCCTGCCGTCCTGGACCTCCTCCACAATGGTGCGCACCTGGCGGGTGGTCACAGCTGTGGGAGAAACAGACACTCAGGGCCAGGACCCTTGCTCAACCCCCAGGCCCATGAGCAAGGCCACCTCTCTCCCCCAGCCCCCTCCCAGCAGCTTGGTGTGAATGCCTCTGCTGAACCCTCAAGGTCACATCTGCACACACGTCCCTCCTGCCCTTGCCACCACCTCCCTTCCTCCTGTCCTCTGCTAGGGTCCCTGTGTGAGTCCTGCCTCCTCAGGGAGATTATTAGACTCTGACCCACTGTGTTCTACTGCAGGAGAGTGATTGTGTAGACTGGGGGCTACACAAACTGAGGTCTCCACTTCTCTACAGTCTCCAGGGCGGGGACTATGCTCCTGTCTCCCACATCAGACTGGGATCTCCAAGATGAGAACCAGGTTACCCCATGAGACTAGATACCCCAAGGCTAGGATCATACCTCCCCCATCAGAATGGGATCTCAAGACAAGGACCACATCCCTATCTCCCATCAGACTAGTGTCCCCAGGGACAGGACTGATTTTGCCCCATCCTTCCAGGTCTCAAGAGCAAAGGTTATAAGACCATGTCCCTATCTCCCATCAGATGAGAGTCTCCAGGACTAAGACCATGTCTTCCCTATTAGACTAGGATCTCCAGGGCAAGACCATTTCTCTGTCCCCCTCCCATCAGAACAGACGGTGCTGCCTCATTTGATCCTTTCCCTGAGCATCAACCCTGAGCCCTAATTGGTTTCTCCACTTATGATGGATGGAGCTCCTGGGCCACCCCAGGTAAGGATCTGCTCCCAGCAATACGCAGATGGGTTGCCCGCCCTGTGCACCCCCAGCCATTTGCTCCCACGGTCCTTACGTTCTCTGGCCTTGTGCTGACCGAGGCTGCAAAAAAAAAAAAAAGAGGAGATTAGATGTGGGTCTGAGATCCCCATGCCCAACCCAGAGGCCCCCAGCCCTGGCCTGGGCCCCCACTCACTGGGCATCCTCGCCCTCCAGCAGGCGGCGGTAGGTGGCGATCTCCTGCTCCAGCCGGGTCTTCACATCCAGCAGGATCTTATATTCCTGGTTCTGCTGCTCCATCTCACAGCGCAGCTGTGCCAGCTGCTCCTCCACATTGCCAATCAGCCCCTGGATCTGGGACAGCTGCACGCAGTAGCGGTTCTCTGTCTCTGCCAGGCTGCCCTCCAGGGATGCTTTCTGCAGGAAGATGGGAGGACCAGGGGTCAGCAAGGGTCATCAGGGCCCCCTCTTGGGCCGAGGCCCCTCCCATGCAGAGCAGCACTCCTACCATGCTGAGTTGGGACTGCAGCTCGATCTCCAAGGCCTGTACGGTGCGCCGGAGCTCGGAGATCTCGCTCTTGCCACTCTGTACCAGCTCGCTGTTGGTGGCCACCTCGCGGTTTAGCTCCTCTGTCTGCAGACAGGACACAAGGACAGGCAGCGTGAGCCGGGATCCCTTTCTCAAGTCAGAAGACCCCTATGGCCTCCATATGCTCAGCCCAGGGCCCCATCTGGGCCCAGACAGGGACTTCAGGCTCTTCACATGTGATACCCCTGCCATGGTCATCTCCCTGACCTCTAACCATCCCTTGGGTCTTTTTGCTTCCTCCCAAACCTGGCTGTGGTGGGTGGCGCCTTCTCACCAGCTTCCCAATTCCCAGTTCCCCTTGGAATGTTAAGTTTTTATCATTAATCCCTACAAGTGGAAGGAACAGAAACAGGAAACTTGACAACCAGCCACAACTTGTAACCCGGTTCCTGATTTCTCAAGGGAGAGGTCGAAGCTCCAGGGGCCTTTGCCCTCTGCCTTTATTTCAGAGGGTGGCTCCCCATCTTTTCACCCACCCTCCAGAACTCCAGGCCTGTTGATGCAATGGGAGACTCTGATCCCCTAGGGTCCCTGCAGTTCTCTGACGATGGGACACCCCCAAGATGACCAGTGGTGGGCTTACTGTTGGAGCTCAAGCCCCTGCACCCCCAGCCCCTGAGAGAGGCCCACCTTGCTGAAGAACCAGTCCTCAGCATCTTTGCGATTCTTCTCTGCCATCTTCTCATACTGGTCGCGCATCTCGGACAGGATGCGGCTCAGGTCCACGCCAGGGGCTGCGTCCATCTCCACATTGATCTCACCACCCACCTGGCCTCGCAGGGAGTTCATCTCCTGTGGAGGAGGAGGATTATGGGTATGGGCATCTGGAACTGTCCTCATCCCTTTCTCCCAACCCTTCCCAAGCAAGGTTTCTGGAATTTTCTGATGGAAATAAGGCAGTGGGGCCAATTCTGACCATCCTTTGCTCTGGATACCCTCTACCCTCTGATCCGCCTAGTGATTTTTGTTTGCTTGCTCTGTATGGACCCTGCCTCTACCATCAGACTGGGGGTTCCCTGAGGACAAGAATTCTGTCTGCCCCAGTAGACTGAGAGCTATCAAAAGATAAAATATAATTCTTAGACCTGTGCCCCTGGGATTTATTCACTAATTTCTAAACTTCTGAGTGGGGCCCAGTTTCTAGGGTTTGAACTGGAACAAGGAGGACACCTCCTCACTTATCCCCCATCCTCGTTAGGGAGGCCAGGCTGGGCAGGGAAGGTCTCTGCTGACCCCTAGAAGTATCTCTGGATGCAGAGAGGCAGTGTGGAAGCCGCTGCCCTGAATACTGGCTTCTGGCCCTGGCCCTGCCCTGGAGCCGGGAGGCCAGGGCCCTGCAGACAGGGCAGCCCTGTAAGGTCACCAGCCCTATGCACCTCATGACCTCAGCCTTGGCCCAGCCCCAGATCCTTGCCATCTCTCCCAGAGCCTCTTTGACCTGCTTCCCAGCTCTCACCTCCTCGTGATTCTTCCTGAGGTAGGCCAGCTCCTCCTTGAGGTTCTCAATCTGCATCTCTAAGTCAGCTCTGGCCAGGGTCAGCTCATCCAGCACCCTGCGCAGGCCATTGATGTCGGCCTCCACACTCACACGCAGGGCCTGCTCCGTCTCAAACCTGCAGCAGAACCAGGGACATCAGTCCAGGCTTCTCGCAGGTCCTGTCTCCTCATCCTACCTTTGCCTCAACAGGGGTCTAAGGGCTTACGGGGGACAGTAGTGGTAGGAACGGAAACAAATTCCAGCCCTGGGTCCCGGGCCCATCCCCGGGCAAGGCCCCATACCTACTCTCTTCCTTACTCTCTCTTCTCTGCCTTCCCTCCCCATCTTGCATCACCTGGCTAAGCCCAGAGACCTCAGGGTTGATGAAACCACCTGCTGCTTCCTGGACTAAGGGTAGGCTCTTAGCAGCTCCCAGGATATCCCTGCCCCAGCTCCTGTACTTGCCAAACGCTCCAAAAAAGAAAGGCAATGGCGGAGTCCTAGGTAGAGAGGATGTCCCAAGCTCCTCTCCCAGCCTTCCCTTGTTGTCTAAGGCAGGCAACTCACTTGGTACGGAAGTCATCCGCAGCCAAACGGGCGTTGTCGATCTGCAGCAGGATGTTGGCATTATCCACAGTGGCCGTGAGAATCTGGGAGATGGGGGAGTAATCAGGTCATAAGGTTGGGAAGCTCAGCCAGACCAGGGTCAGGAGGCAGATTTCCCTGCCTAGGGGCCAGGATTTGGTTGCCTTGTCCAAGAACCTTCCCATTGCCCTACCTGCCTCTCCCCTTCACTGAGCTGTAGTTGTTGGCAGAGGTGAGGGCTGAGCAGGAGTGTGTGAGCTGAAACTTGTCTCCCTTTCCCCCAGGACCTGCCTCCCCAACACAGACCCCTATGCCAGGCTGTGCCTTAAAGGAGAGGAGGATCCTGGCTGGGAATGCCAGGAAAGCCCAAGGAGACTTCCAGAACACCCCTGAGGTAGAAGGTGTTCCAGAATTCCAGATGTGGGAAACTCCCTCATTTTATTGTCAGGGGAAGTAGAGAGGGGATGGTACCCCCGAGAGGCTCCCCAAAAGGGAGGCTAAAGGAGCCCTCACCAAGCAGTAGCTTCAAATCTGAAGAAATGACCCCAGCTAAGCCCTACCCCTGGGCTCCAGCAGGCTGCCTGACTTTGGGGGTGGCCTGGATAGGACATTTGCTGAGCCCCAATCTTGAGGGGACAGAGGAGGGGTGGGGAAGCCTGAAAAATCCCCAAATAAGGTCCACAAGTGGCCTTTCCCTTCCCTGAGGTCCACCCCTCTCCTGCCACCTCCTCCTGGCAGGTGCTATGAGGAGCTCACCCAGCCCTCCACCTCCCCAACGTCCCAAGTCCCCTTCCTGATGACCCCTGTTCCAAAGGAGAGAGGCACAAGGCATCCGGCCACCCACGGGCCTAGCCCTCCACACGCATCCTCTCATCTTATCCTACAACCATATGGGGTGGCAAGCTCTGAGATGAGGAAACAGAGGCTCAAAGGGGCTCCAGAGGCCTGCTTACCCCGACTCAGCCTGCTGCCCCTGAAAGAGCAGGGGTGGGGCTCCAAGGTGGGCTCCCAGAGGCAAGCCAGAGCCAAGCTGTCCTCTGCCCAGGGAGGCCCCCAGGCTGGAGGGGAGGAGGGGAAGTCATGCCCCCATGGGTGCCCTCCCACCAGCAGGCCCCACCTTGTTCTTCAGGTCCTCGATGGTCTGGTAGTAGTGGCTGTAGTCACGGGCAGGCCCCGGGGCCTGCTTCTGGTACCAGTCACGGATCTTCACCTCCAGCTCGGTGTTGGCCTCCTCTAGGGCGCGCACCTTGTCCAGATAGGAGGCCAGGCGGTCGTTGAGGTTCTGCATGGTGGCCTTCTCTCCTCCCACCAACAGCCCGTCAACACCTCCAAAGCTGCTGCCAAAGCCACTGCCATAGCCGCCACCATAGCCACCGCCAGTGCCGAAGCTATAGCAGCTGGAAAAGCTGCCGCTGCCCCCGAGGGCACTGCCTAGGCCGCTGACCGACCCCAGTTGGCACGAGCCTCCACCCCGGCTGCCGGACAGCCGGCAGGAGGTGCGAGAGCCGCCCCCTAGGCTGGAGGGGCCCTTGATGGAGCTGGAGGAGGTGTACTGGTAGATGGTGCTGGTCATGGTGGCAACGGCGGCAGCAGACGCTGATCTAGACGGCTGTTGGCTCCAGCTAACGAGAGAGGAGGCCCCAAGGTGCGTGCTGCTGCTGGGGCTCGCCCGCCACCTTTATAGACAGACAAGTGGGCGTAGCGATTACAACAGGCTCCATCCTTTGTTTCCATTCCTCTCATGTTTCGTCACCGCTGGCCACCTGCCAGCTCCCAGCTGGCTGTCCCCCCGCCCCCCCCCCACCCCGGCCACGGGCTTTGCCTCATTTCTCTGGAACCCCTGTTCTAGGCGTCTGCATGTGTGTGTCTCTGGTCTCAGGCTGTCACCTGTGATTCAGGCAGGCCCTCAGGCTATGCTTTCCTATGACCTAATACGGAGAAGAGGAGAAGGCAGGACGTCATCGTCACTGGGCCCTCCCAGGCAACGCCACCCCAGCCCAGCCCACCAAGCCCCAGTGTCTGGTGGGGAAACTGGTCAGGCAGCACCCAGTCTGAGGTTGCTCTCCTCCCCGCACACCACACCACATGATCCTGGCCCGGGGCGGGGTGCTGGGGAAACAGGGAGGACCTAGACCCCAGCCCACCCTGGGGAAACTGGGCCTAACCCAGCCGGGCACAGCACACTGCACATTAACACCATCAGGCCGCAGAACACTGCCAGTCCATTTGACAGATAAGGAGACTGAGGTTTAGAGCAGGGATGCAGCATCCTCACTGCCCACCTAGTCTGGAACTGGCTGGCAGGTCTATAGCCTTCATTCTACCATGCCACAGCCCCCTCCCCTCATGGACCTAGGCCACACTGGCCCTCCCAGAGCAGAATCCTGACACCCAGGAACCCAGTCCAGGGCTAAGATTCCCTCTAGTCAGTGTTCTGTCCTGTCCCCATCCCTAGGATCCCTGACGGCCCAGCCTGCCCTTTTAAACTGCCCCCTTCCTCTTCTAGGTGGGTGTTCCTGGGCTGGGTGGGCAAGGAGGAGCTTAGCTGTAGGATGGGGAACTGGGTGAGGGAGCAGTTGTGGAGAGGGGGAAACAGGAAGAACTGTGAGGGGCAGTGCCCCCTTCTACCCTCCTTACCTCTCCTGTGCCCCAAGAGGCCTCAGGGTGAGGGGAGGGGTGTGTGCCAGCTGGAAGTTTAAAGGGCCTTGCCCAAGAAGAGGCTCTGAGCTGAAATCCCAGGCTCTTAGCTTGTCTCTCACCCCCAGACTCCCTCAGAGACCCCACCAGCCCACAGATGTGGCTCCTCAGGGTGGGCCCTGCTCCGTCCTACGGCCCCGCCCTGCCCTGCCCACCACCCCAAGCCCGGCCCTGGGTCACAGGGTCCCGGCAGGCCTGTGGGCGGAATGTGGTCTTGTCTCAGGCTGTCGATGGCTTCCACCTCCCAGACAGGTCCAGACAGCCGCCGCCAGCAGCCGAGCAAATTCTCCAATAGCCCAGCAGCTGCCAAGCCACCAAAGCAAACAGGACGCCCCCCACGCTCACACGCACAAGCAGCCACCCCACCGCACACACACCCCCGAGCTGGGCAGAGCCAGCCTGGTTTCCCTGGAGGCTGCTCTGCACCACCTCCTCTCATCCATCAATACCCTTCACCACTCCCTCGGAAAGGCCTCGGCCTAGCCCCTCTCCTTCCACTCTCAAACCCAGACCAGCCCAGGGCTGAGGCTGGGAGCACTCTGTACAACAGACACGGTCCCCAAAAGGCTATGGAGCTTTCCCAGGGACAAGCCTCAGGCAACAGGGAGCTAGGGGCTGACTTAGAAACCTTCCCAGCCGGACTGGCCATCCCAGAAGCCTCCTTCCCTCTCTCTCTCCCAGGAGCTCCAGGGTGGACGGGGTGGGCAGAACAGCTTGGCAGGGAACAAGGTGATACCCAAATGCTCAGCAAACTCTCCTCTCCCACAACCCCTCTCCCTCAGCCCACACCGCCCCAAACCAATGACCAGACCACACGAAGCATCGAACTTCGGCAAAGCTTTATTAGCAGTCAGTGGGCAAGCCGAGGAGTCCCTCCAGCGGGGGCTGCAGAAAGCAGGTGCAGAAAAGCAACTGCTCAGGGGCACGGGCCCAGGCTGGCACTCAGGGAGGTAGCATGTGGGGAGCTGGAGGCCAGGGCTGCTCCTGGACACTCAAGGCTGGGCCGTCGCACTCAGAAAGCCGCCTCAGTGGGTGGAGCGGTGCACCTGCTCGCGGGAGGAGACCACCTTGCCGTCCTGGACCTCCTCCACAATGGTGCGCACCCGGTGGCTGGTCACCGTGGCTGTGGGCAGTCAAGGAGGGAGCGCAGTAAACCTCAGGGCAGAGCCCCTACTCTTACCCCACCACCCTACCTGCACCTCCCCAGGTCTCCCCCACAGGCGGGTCCTCAGCCTCTGCCTGCTCCTTCTGAGTCTGGGCAGGATGTGGCAGGCTCTTACCTTCCCGGGTGGACGGCGAGGCCATGGACGGGGAGTACTGGGCGGTCAGGCTGGAGGCGGAGGGAACTTGTCAGCCCAAGGATCCCAGACAGGAGCCCGACCCCCTGGGAGCCCTCTGAGGACGGGGTGCTGCTGGGAGGCCCCGGGGTGGGAGGGGAGAGAGGTCCCAATATATTGGAGAGAAATCATAGCCGGGAGTGCAGGGGAAGGAATGGCAACCCCAGAGGGTCAGAGGGCACAGGGCAGGAGTAGGGGAGCCGGGACATGCCAAGGGAAGGCCGAGTCCACTTAATGGCTGTTAACCAGGGATTTACAAGAAACTGAGTAAGTGGTTTTTCCATACCCCAAAGGCCTCAACAAATAGACTCAATTAAAGCAGGAGGGACTGTGGTTAGACTACAGATGGACTTCCCCTTGTTAGGGAGCAAAAAGCTGGAGTGTGTGACTAAGCATAGAGTCTCCAGGACATTCTCAGCCCTTCCCACCAGGGCCCTGATCAAACTTTCCAACTCCCAGATGGCCACTCGCCCTGCTCCTTATCCCGTCCTAGTTAATGGCATCACCAACCACATAGTCATCTGAACCAGAAACCCGGGTCGTTGTCAGCCTCTCTTCCGTGGGTTCATGCAGAGTTTATTGAGTCCTGACTGGGAGTCACACTCGCCCCCATGTCCAGGCATCCGATCCTGCAGTTTCTAGCTATAACATATCTTCTGTGTGCATCACCTACATTTCCAGCCTCCTGACAGGTCTCCCCAACCCTACCGTGACCCCTGCCATCCATTTCTCCCTCCACAGCCAGAGTGAGCATTCTAAAATATCTTTATGACCATAACCTTCCACTGCTCAGAATCCCTCCATGGCTCGCTATTGCCCACACGATCTAGCCCAGATGCTTTAATTTGGCATCCCAAGGTCCTTGCATCAAGCCCCAGCCAGTATTCTCAGTTTCACCTCCTGCAAAACCCCGACAGTTGTGCCACATTTCCCAGCCACCCCCTCTAAGTTCATTCACTGAGCCTTGGCCGGTGCTGATTTCTCAGCTCAAATGTCCCTCTCTGGATGAAGCTGCTGCCCCTAGCCCACCAGAGCAGGGGCCCCCACTCACTGGGCATCCTCGCCCTCCTGCAGACGGCGAGAGGTGGCGATCTCCTGCTCCAGTCTTGTCTTCACGTCCAGCAGCAGCTGGAACTCTTGGTTCTGGCGCTCCATGTCACCGCGCAGCTCACACAGCTGCTGCTCAGTGCTGCTGATGAGCCCCTGCAGCTGGGCCAGCTGGGCCCTGTAGCGTGCCTCTGTCTCTGCCAGGCTGCCCTCCAGGGACGCTTTCTGTGGGCCAAGTTAATAGATGGCTCGATGAGACCCACTGGGACCCTTCCCCACAGTGGGGTGCCAGAGGGCGGTAACTGGGGCAGAGAGGGGCCCATGTCGCTGAGTGAGGGGATGGGCTGGGCAGGGAGCTCTCTAGCTCGCCGAGCCAGGGTCTACTACGCTGGGCCCATCTGGGGTACCGGGTACAGAGTAGGGAGGGGGCGGGGGCCCTACCATGCTGAGTTGGGATTGCAGCTCGATCTCCAGGTTCTGCACCGTGCAGCCGCGCTCTGTGATCTCAGTCCTGCTGCTCTGCAGGGCCTCAGTGTTGGTGGCCACCTCGAGGTTCAGCTCCTCCGTCTAGAAGGTAGGGCAGGCTGCAGGGGCTTGAGGAGGCTTGCGGAGGGGGCGCAGAGGACAGGGGCCACCCCGGAACCTTACTTTCCAGACAGTCTACCCCCAGCTCTCCCTAGCCTTTGTGGGGCCCCAGGGACACACACACACACACACACACAGGAACACTCTGTGCTTTTACTGGGCTTAGCAGAATTTACGCTGCTCTGCAGGACTTGCACCCATTAATTCTACTGAGCTACAAGCACCCCAAGAGCAGAGACTGGGTTTTATTTCTTCTTGTGCCTGTAACTGTCCCTGGAACAGGTAGATACTTAGTTTGTGATTATTAAAAACCAAACCCATTGCCGTCGAGTCAATTCTGACAGAGTAGAACTGCCCCATAGGGTTTCCAAGGAGCGCCTGGTAGAGTCAAACTGCTGGCCTCTTGGTTAGCAGCCAAGCTCTTAACCACTACGCTACCAAGGCTTCCATGATTACTAAGGGGATGAGTTACGCATCCAAACACACACATACCTGCAAACACCTGCCGTGGAAGAAGCCCTAGACGATGAGGGTCAGGAGACCTCCCGGTTCTATTTCCCAGGCTGCAGTGGAGCCTGAGGCTTCTCTGAGTCTCATATTTTGCATCTAAAACATGAGGGCTTGGTCCAAGCGGTTTCCAAAGGTCCTTCCAGCTGGGACTCGGGTTCCAGCCCACACCCAGCACACGTACGCACACGTGTGCACACCTGCTCGCTCACGGCCACCCAGCTTGCTGAAGAACCAGTCCTCAGCGTCCTTGTAGTTCTTCTCCACAATTTTCTCATACTGGTCTCGCATCTAGTTCAGAATGCGGCTCAAGTCCACGCCGGGGGCTGCGTCCATCTCCACGCTGACATCCCCGCCCACCTGGCTTCAAAGAGCGTTCATTTCCTGGACAGAGAGGAGAGTAGGAGCTCACCCTGGGCCATCGTGGGGAGAGGCCTGGGGCCTTCCTTCTCTACCCCTGGAAGACGGGTGTGATGACAGACAGACAGACGCGATAGGCCAGCAGCTCCTCACCCTGAAGATGGAGGTAGATGTTGTCACGTCTCAAACACGCAGGGCTGTGGATGTCCACAATCTCAATATACGCTGGTACACTGATAGACTTCACCCATCCCCAGTGTGTGTCGGGGTAGAAAGAGATGACAGCTCCCCATCATGGTGGGTGATAATGATGACAACCTCCTTCACCACCCTGACCACCCGCCTGGTTCCCCACCACCAGCCACACAGCATGAGCTCAGGAACAGTAGCCCTATGTTGGCATCAGGCCAGGCTCCGTTAGGAAGGTTAAAGTCTTTTTGGCTGGGGGAAGTTAAAAATCCATATAACCAGCCTCAAAGCAAGTAGAAACACTTTCTGGGTATCCTGCTACTTGGGGTAGGCTCCCCCAGCTCAGAGCAGCCCGGGATCGGCTGAGAAGAAAGCCCCCAGGACAGAATAATATAAGGCCTCACCGGCCCCCAGCAGGTACTTGAATCCCCATCCTTTGTTGGGGTCTCTGGCACCCAGAGCTCTCTGAAAAACGGAGGCGGGAGAGGTGGCAGAGGCATGGGATTGGACCTGGGTGTCGACATACATCAGACCTGGGGGAGGCCCCGTGTGGCCTTGGATACATCACGTAGCCTCCCCGAGCTTCAGTTTCTTCACTAGTAAAAAGGGGGAAGGAGTATCCTCCTCCCAGTGAGCGAAGTTGTTGGTATCAGCTAATTGCCATGAATCATTTGTAATGTACTGGGCAGAGTCCATTGTAGTTACAACTATCACCGTAATTAATTATCATAATTAGCATTACACGTTCTCAGACTGATTCGCTGATTAGATAGTTAACTGCCGTCTCACCGTGGGCTGAGCCTCGAGGGACAAGGGAAGTATCTTAAGGGGAGAGGCCCCTCAGGCCTCATCCAGGGCCCTCTGAGGGTCTCCCAGGATCAGGCCAGGAACCTCCAGAGGTGGGAACGGGACCAAGAGCAAGTGCCCAGCCCAGGAAGATTCTGGAGGCCCTACCTTGCTCCCAGACAAGTTTCTTAATCCTCCTGGGCTGGCCTCACCTCCTCATGGTTCTTCCTCAGGTAGACCATCTCCTCAGGCTCTCAATCTGCATCTCCAGGTCAACTCTGGCCAGAGTCAGCTCATCCAGCACCCTGAGCAGGCCATTGATGTCAGCCTCCACATTCATGCGCAGGTTCAGCTCTGTCTCATACCTGGGAAGGGCAGAGGCATGAGGCATGGACTGCCACGTGGACACCCCCTCAGGCATGCACCACTCTCTCCAAAGGGGCAGAGCCCAGGCCCACCACCAGACTCACTTGGTACGGAAGTCATCGGTTGCCAGCTGGGCATTGTCAACCTGCAGCACCAAGCTGGCGTTATCAATGGTAGCCGCCAGGATCTGGGGAGATGGCAGGCTCACCCTTGACAGCCCCAGAGAGCAGCCCCCAACATCCCTCTTGCAGCCCTTTGGGGAGTGGGCCAGAGTGAGGTCAATGGAGATCCTATGGTCTCCTCCTCCTCTGACTGTTGTTGCTATGTGCCATCCAGTCGATTCCCACTCTTAGCGACCCCATGTGACAGAGTAGAACTTCCCCATAGGGTTTTCTAAGCTGTAAAATGAGCCCTGGTGGTACAGTGGTGAAAGAGCTCAGCTGCTAACCAGAAGGTCAGCAGTTCGAACTCACCAGCCGCTCTGTGGGAGAAAGATGTGGCAGTCTGCTTCCGTAAAGATTTACAGCCTTAGAAATCCTATGGGGCAATTTTACTTTGTCCTATGGGGTCACTATGAGGCAGAATCAACTCAACAGCAATGGATTTGTTTTTTGTTTTTGTTTTATTGTACTTTAGATGAAGGTTTACAGAACAAACTAGCTTCTCATTAAACAATTAGTACACATATTGTTTTGTGACATTGGTTACCAACCCCACAACATGTCAACACTCTCCCTTCTCGACCCTGGGTTCCCTATTACCAGCTTTCCTGTCCCCTCCCGCCTTCTAGTCCTTGCCCCTGGGCTTGTGTGCCCCTTTAGTCTCATTTTGTTTTATGGGCCTGTCTAGTCCTTGGCTGTAGGGTGAACCTCAGGAGTGACTTCATTACTGAGCTAAAAGGGTGTCCGGGAGCCATACTCTCAGGGTTTCTGCAGTCTCTGTCAGGCGAGTAAGTGGGTTCGGTTTTTGAAATCTTTACGGGAGCAAATCGCCAGGTCTTTCTCCCACTGAGCTGCTGGGTGGGATTGAACCACCCAACCTTTCAGTTAGCAGCCAAAGGGTTAACCATTTCACCACCAGCACTCCTTCCTTCTCTGATTATCCTGCCAGAAATGCCAGGGGTACAGCCAAGGCCTTCGGAGGGCTCACAGAGTGGTGGGGTCATGGGGCCTGCCCATGAGTAACCACAATGCCAGAAGAGAAACCTATATGCCCCCCTCCCTCCCACTGTGTGCCCACTGCCCAAGCTGCCTGGACCTCACTCCTTCTTCCCGAAATAAATTCACCTCTCAACTCAGTTGCCACCTCCTCCAGGAAGCCCCCCTGGGTTCCCTGCCGAGATCCCTCCTCCCTGCCACACCTCCCATCTCCCTGCCCATCTCTCATAACACTTTTATACTTATCCCAGATGCAATTTTATACTCATTTCTATGACTTTTGTGATTGTTTCTCCTCCACTGGACTCTGAGCTCCAGGGGGCAGGGACCATGTGTGCCTCACTCTCTTCAGAATCCCCAGCCATGGGAGACGTTTGGTTAATTAAGTGGTTAATTAATTAATGAGGTTGCGACTGGCCCCACCTCAAACCTAAGACAAAGCTTTCTTTCCCCACAGGGTCACCTGGGAGGTTTAAATGAGAGCTCGGAAGACACAAACTCTGGAAGGAGCAGAGGGTTGGTTATTTATTTTTACTCTGCTCTCGTTGTTATTGTTAGACAGTCCAGTCAAGGGCCATGGGGGTGGGGAGGGGAACGAGGCCTCTCCCTGCTGAGCAGAAAGAGCAGGAGGGTCACTGGTGGAGGTGGCAGTGAGCTGGGTAGAATTGAGAATTTTTTAAGGCTGAGGGCTGGAGTGTAGGAGACAAAAAGCGAATGCACTGGCAGCAAAAACAGCCCCACTGGGCCCCTCCTGTGCGTCTAGAGCCATGGCAGCCCCTCCCAGAGCCCACTAGAGGCCCTAAGATCTGTGAAGGATTGTGGGTCAGGCCCAGCTGCTTGTTTGCAGACTGAGCCCGAGGGCTAGTCTGTCACCACCCTGGGCCTCAGTGGGCCCCTCTGTCTGTAGGCTGCAGAGACCCCACCCCCCACCCCGTCTCGCTGCTCAGTGAGGGGTGGCAGCAAAACGTGAGAGTGACTCAGAGGGACGGAGTCCTGATGCAACAGGGGGTTGGTGGGGAGGTGCTGGCTGACCCTGGAGCTCAGCAGCACTGACTCACTAGGGCTCCCCTGGGTTCCCCCAACCAAGTGCCTTAGCTGATCTGGCACTCCCAGGAGCTCAGCTTCCAGGGTAAGTCACAGGAATCCCCTGCCCGGTGGAGGTCCTGGGCAGGAGCAGGCAGTGCCCCTCATAGCGCAGCAGCCAGGACTGGTCCTCCAGCCAGGAAACAGGGCAGGCCTAGCCAGCGGAGCTCCTGGAGGTCATGAGAGTGTGTGTGCGTTTGTGTGTGTGTTGTCTCCTCCATCAGACTAAGTTAGCAAAATGCCTTCCCCCGGGAGTTACCAGTCTGAGTGCCGAGACATGACTCCTGCCTTCAGGGACCCCCAGTCTGCAAGGAGAGACACGGTCCCAGCCTTTAGGGAGCTCAGAGCTACCATCATTGAGGCGGTGAGAAGGATCCACAGCAAAGGCAGCCAGGCTCAGTGAAACTAGCACAATGAATGGGGCGTAAGCTGGCCCTCAAAGTGCTGGAGGGACCCCAAGACCTAGGGATTAGAGGTGAGTGCCATTCTTCCAGGGGGACTGCCTGGAGGAGGTGAGGCAGGCAGGAAGGCAGACCCACAGGGGCATGGATGTTCCAGCCTCATCTCCCACCTCCCAAACTCTTCCCTACCTCTGGCCTTTGCCCATGCTGTTCTCCACACCTGGGGTGCTTGCCTTCAAGATGAAGTCTTCCTTCCCCACTCCTCCACCTCCCACCTCAAAACATACCGCCCTGCCCCACCCCCCCCACCCCCCGCAGGAAGGGAGGTGTCCTCCTGGAGAACTCCAGACAACCTCCCTGCAAAGATGTCCTCCAGGCCTGGGACCAGTGACTGGCAAGTTGAATGAATGAATGAATGAATGATGGAGATCTAGGATGGGAGAGAGATGTTTGCATAGGTACAAAGTTGGGAAGGAGTAAGTCAGAAGCAGGTACTAAGGGCAGAGGACAGAGGGCAAAGGGCAGGGACCTCCCACCTTGCTCTGCAGGTCTTCAATGGTCTTGAAGTAGTGGCTGTAGTCATGGGCAGGCCCAGGGCCCTGCTTCTTGTCCCAGTCATGGATCTTCACCTCCAGGCCAGCATTGGCCTCCTCCAGGGCACGCACCTTCTCCAGGTAGGAGGCCAGGCAGTCATTGAGGTTCTGCATGGTCTCCTTCTTGCTCTTGCTGCCCCCCAGCAGGCCATCTGCCACACCAAAGCTAGATCCAAAACCCCCACCCAGGTTGCAGGTGTAGCCACTGCTGTAGCCGCCCCCCATACCCGCGGAGAAGCGGGATGAGGTGACTGACATGTTGCCAAAGCTGCCGGCTCCCAAGAGGCTGGGGGCCCGGTAAGAACCCCCGACATGGACCGAGGACATCCAGGAGATACCTCCACCAGGCATTCACAGGCCCTTCACGGAGCCTGAGGTGGAGAACTGGCGGATGCTGGTGGTGGTGGCAGCCATGGTGTCCACAGGTCAGATGCAGGATTTGATCTGGACAGAGACCCTGGGCAGCCCTTTAAAGCCAGGCCACAGAAGGGCTGGGCCCCTGGCCCTTGAAGTCAGAGCCAAAACCCCAGCTACATAATTTTGCCTGTGTACCAGCCACACAGGGCCTCAGGCTCTGGCTGGACACGTTAAGTACACTTCCAGACCCCTTCCATGCTGAACCTGGCCTGGGCATGGTGGACACTTAGGGGCCCATTGTCTGCTCAGAAACAAAGGTGGTGTTGGGAGCTGCAGCCCCAGGATAGGGTGATCCTCCATCCTCAGCCCCAGTTAGGCCGCTGAGCTCATTCTTGGGGGGAGTCCGGAGAACTCAGTCCGGGGAGCCAGGAAGGGCATGGAACAAGGCTCCACAGACCTGGAGCCTGGAGGCTTGTCTGGCCCCCACCCAGAATTCCTGGGCCCCAGGGAGAGGGTGAAGAGATTTGGGGCCAACACCCTCCCCCAGGTACAGTGTGGCCCTGAGGGAGGAGCCCTTGGTCTGAAGGGGGAGATATAGCTCCTGACCTGGGGGATCCCTAAGTATGAGGGGGAAGAATTAGCCTCTGACCTGAGGTAGCCCTCAGTCTGATGGGGGAGACTTAGCGTCTGACTGGAGAGAACCCCCAGTCTGAGGGAAGAGATTTAGCTTCTGACCTGAAGGAACCCCCAGTCTGAGGGGGGAGATTTAGCTTCTGACCTGAGGGAACCCCCAGTCTGAGTGGAGAGATTTAGCCTCTGACCTGAGGGAGTCCCCTCCCTCTGAGGGGTGAGACATAGATTCTGTCCTGAGGGAACCCCCAGTTTGAAGAGGTAGACATAGCTCTCTCCTGGGATTATTCCAAGTCTAAGATGGGGAGATACAACCCCTGTCCTTCGGGTTCCCCATGTCTGAGGGGAATAGTCATGACCCCTGACCTGAGGGAGCTTTGGATAAGGCCTTAGGACAAGTCAATTCACAAGTCTCAGTTTCCTGCTCTGTAAAATGGAGATAATTCATTCCTGTCACCCAAGGTCTAAGAGGGAACGTGGAGAGATAGTGACATAGGTCAAGCTCTGAAAAAATGAGCTCCACTCAAGCATTTCTGTGAACATGGGGTGGAGACAGGTCTGAGGCTAGAGGAGGGAGAAGATGAAGTAGAGGATTGGGGTGACTGCCCTGCCTACCCGCACCCCCCACCCCAGTTCCTAAAGACATAGGTTCCCAGAACAGGTGCAGGGGAAGGCCATGGAGAAGCAGGATTTGTACAGCCAGGACGCCCCTCCATCAGGCCACACTCTGAGGACTGGCCTAGTGCCGGGAAGCCAGAGGCCGCCCCTGGGAGGGAACCGCCTGATCCTACATCCTGGCAGCTGGCACCCGCTTGCTGCCCAACAAGGAGATTACCAGCCTAATCTCTGTGGCGCTGATGATTTAGGCACTGCCAGGACCCTGGCGTCTACACCAGGCCTGTCTGAGTATGGAGCTCCCACAGGCGGCCAGGCCCATGGGACAGGGCAGGAGAGGGCAAGCCTGGCACTGGAGCGGAGGTTTGTGGGTGGCCTGGATGTACAGCCACACACAGGGGCAGGGAGGGAGTCGGGCTTTCCATGTGGCCCAGGGCTTCTATGATAAGGCTAGACTGCCAGAGGGACTTCCTGCTTGGAAATGGGGTAATCTCACACCACTGGGTGTCCCTCCCTGGAGAGGGCCAAGAAGGGGATCAACACAAGCTGTCCTGGAGTGGGGGAGAGAGAGGATGAGCCCTGACTTTATCCTGCTCCCTCCACCCTCCTGTGAAGTCTGCAGGGTTCTAGGGTATTGCCCAAAGCCAAGGTTAGAGAGCAAGGTCAGACCACCAGGGCTACTTCATTGAGGTTAGACATCAGGAAGGACTTGGCAATCCATGACTGCCTTGGAAGAAGCAGATGGGGGGTGGGGACAAATAGAACCTGGGGATACCTGAGTGGGCCAGAGGCAGGCCCTGCACCAGCTGTCACCCTCACACGGAAGGACGTGCAATAAAGGCTTGCCCTGCCTTCCTGCACTGGATTTGGAACAGAGCCAGGGGGCTGGGGAGGTGGGCAGGCCATGGGGACTCCACTCACCCCTCAGGACCTCTCCTAGAACCCCCAGATTTCATCCTTCCTGGGAGCCCCACCTCCAAATCCCCCAGACCTTGGTCTTGAGGCCCAGTTTGAAGGGGTACAGTTGTTTACCAGCCTCCCTTCCTCCCTCCCTCCGAACTGACCAGGGCTGACTTACCACCACCACCATTTGGCCCCCACAGCCCCTCAGCTCCTGGTATCAGGTTACTGGCTGTAGGCCTCCCTCTCTCCCTCACCCAGGGCCAAGGCTAAGAAGTCCTGAACATTCCCTCTCCACAGCTCAGAGACAGCCCTCGTCAGATCCTCACAGTCAGATCCTCACAACGTTGTGAGATGCAGGACTAGCATCAAAGCCAGACCCACAGCCAGGGCCTCCGGCAGCTCCCACTCTCCCTGCAGGGGGAGGAGGGCCTGCCAGGAGCCGGCTGGGGGGCAATGCAGAGGTCCTCTGGGCTGTAACTCCTCCTGCCCAGGCCTGTCCTCTACCCCGGGCAGGTAGAGGCCCCTGGCAGCCCTGAGGGGCAGAGCCAGGCCCACAGCTCCCGCAGCTGTCAGCAGCTTGGCCCACTTCAAGGAGGAAAAGGAAAAAGAGGAAGAGATCCAAATGTCTCAGTCAAGCACAGATGGAAGAAAGGCAGGCAAGAGGGAGAGGCCCCACGGAGGTGGCTGGGGAAATTCCCAGCATCCCGCAGTGCCCTCCATGCCAACCCCAGGTTTGGCTAAGCCCACAGGCCCTGGGTCTCCTTCCAAAACATGCTCGAGAGTGGGGCATGGATAGGCCCTGCGGTGGATTTGAGCAGGGCCAAGGTACTGGGGGAGAGGGTCCCTGTTATGTTGATGGAAGGTCAAGATTAAGAAATAGGGGCCCTCACCTAGAGCCTCACCTAGAGCCCAGGGCAGGGCTTGTACCCAACAGGTGCTCTGTAAGTGCTTTTTGAATTGTTAGGGTCACGGAGCTAGATAGAGACAGGGACCCAGAAGGGGATTCCACGGCAACCTAGCCTGCCCACCAAGGAAAAGAGTTAGAATCAGGTGAGGCAGAAGTGAGAGGCCCAGGAGACCAGGGGTGGGGTCCCATTTGGGGACTGCCATGGATTGAATTGTGTCCCCCAAAAATATCTGTCAACTTGGCTAGGTCATGATTCCCAGTATTGTATGATTGTCTACCATTTTATCATCTGATGTGATTTCCCTATGTGTTGTAAATTCTATAAGATGGATTAGTGGAAGTTATATTGATGAGATCTGCAAGATTAGGTAGTGTCTTAAGCCAATCTCTTTTGAGATATAAAAGAGAGAAGCGAGCAGAGAGACATGGGGACCTCATACCACCAAGAAAGCAGTACCGGGAGCAGAGCGCGTCCTTTGGACCTGAGATTCCTGCGCTGAGATGCTCCCAGACCAAGGGAAGATTGATGACA